GACATTAGTATTCTAGCATAAGCCTAGTTGAGTGACTGTAAGCCGACCTGTGCACACGGGGGATCCTCAAGAGCTAACTGCTAAGTGGATAATGAAGGGCCTGGTTTTGAGGAGGTCAGAGAAATTGAGTGACTTGTTCTCAGTTCCACTTCTAGACCATTCTAAACCATAGCACCCTGACAAGAGTTCAGATCTTTCTGCTCCACCCATTCTCACGATGCTGTGTTTCTAGGTTTCAGTATTTGGCATCAGCTTTGGGAGATTATGATTGTTTATGCCCCTGGGTACCTGGCAACTTACCCGTCTGTCTGCAAGAAGGTCGTCCCCAGGGCTAGGCTGGTGTCTGACCAAGTCAGGTGCTTTGGTTCTTTTTTCCTGATCTTAAGAAAGCATTGCTTTCACTTGAAAAATATTCTCCTCTATTTCTTGTAAAGCCAGACTAGACAAAGATTGAGATCACGTCAACTAGGCAGTTAAGTATTTGACAGTACCTACTGTAAAGTGCTTGTGAATTTTTTTGTAGCATAAAAGTAATCAATAAATTAAGATGTTGTAGTGTGATGTGTACCTGTAAACCCAGCATTTAGGAAGCTGAGGTACGAGAGTCACAAGTTTGAGGCCAGCTTAGGTTACACAGTGAGACTCTAACTCAAAATAAAACAGTAATAAGTGTTAATATAAAAAAATAGAGATAATAGGGGCATTTAAAACTTCTATTATCCTACTCTGCTCCAAAGTTAACAGTTGTTCATTAATTGTTATATTATGCTAATTATGTATGTGTGTATGAGAGGGAGAGAGAGAGAGACAGACATACAGACATACAGACAGACAGACAGACAGACAGACAAACAGACAGACAGAGAGTGGGAGAGAGATCTCAGTGTTGAGGTAGGCTCCCCAGCTCCCGTTTTGCTCCGCATACACCTTAAGTAGAATTACCTTCAGTAGGGGAGATAATAGGGCTGAGACACAGAAACAGGAGAGGGCCAAGAGACTACAAAGATGGGCAGAGAGGAGTTAGCTAACCTTAGGGCCACTCCCACAGCTCGCTCTCCAGTCCAGAGCCAGCTCTGGCCACCCCACACTAGCTTCTCTCCCTCACCTACTCCCGGCTCTCTTGCAATGTGAATCTGATTATCATGGTTAATCGTTCATGAACGCTCAGCAAACATCTAGCTGGCCGTTTTGTAAGTCTGCTGAGGACCCAACTTCGGTTCCCAGCACCCACATCAGGCAGCTCACAAGTCTCTGGTACTTCAAGTCTAGGGGATCTAATGCTTCTGGCCTTCTGCACTCATGTGCACAAACCTGTCCACACACACATATGGATGTGTAATTGAAAATAATAAAGATAGATATAAGAAAAAACTCTGTTCAAATAAATGAAAAAGTAATATATTTTCCATCTTGGAGACCTCGATTATATGCCGGCAACTAAAAGTGCCAGATGGTTCTGGCTTTTCATAGTGAAGGCACGGCTTCTACCGAAACAACTATCTCACAAAACAACCCAAAACTATGGATATTAAAAAATATTACATCTATGTGAATTGGGGGGAGGAGTGCATATACCTTCTTGCATGTGGGTGACCAAAGGACAACTTCCTGGAGTTGGTTGACTCCTTCCACCATGCTGATCCTGGTCTAAAAGCTGGTCTGGACAGTGTGGTTCAAGGTGACCCTCTAACTTCTTTTTTTTTTTTAATAATTTATTTTTTCTCAAATTGAAATTCATTCACACAGGGGTTATAAACACAGAAAGGCAGGATGTGGGGAAGGGAATGACACTGGAGTGTGGGTGATCAGGGGGAATAGAGATATCATCAGAACCGGGTATAGGCTGGGTGAAGGTTCAGGGGACAAGTCACTATGACTCTGCCTATGACTCGTTTGTCCTTATCTAAGTTGGTATTGTCTGCTCAGGCTACCTATTTACAAGGTCTATGACTACTCAGGCTTGTAAATTTTCACAAAAGCTGCCTGTTTACATTAGCTTATAGCCATCTGTTTCAATGTTTTTCCATGAGACCCAAGACTTGGTATTAGTATACATGTATGACAGGCCTATTGCTGATTTTAGGCCTATGACTGATTTTAGGCCTTCAGTGGGTAAGCAGGGCTGCCCCTGACATCTCTTCCCTTCTCTAAGTATAGAAGGGCTGTGGAAATTCTAAACTTGCGAAGGCGGGGATAGAGGCCTGACCTCCAGTATTTGAAGGGGACCTTGTAATGGCTCCAGTCCCCCTGTCGTTGTCCATGAGGGCCATACCCGTCCCGGTGTCTTTTTCCTGGAGAGGGGGTACTTTTGATATCAACCCCTATGCAGTCAGGCTTGTCCCTCAGGGAACCCAGAGAGATATTTTTATCTTTTATTTATATTCCCTTGCAGTACTTAGCCTCGAAGCCTAAGCAAGAATTCAGATCGCCTGTCAGAGGGGGTTCTGGGTGGCCCCTCTCTGCTAGGTCTAGGGGCAGAAGTCCCCCCTTTTAGGTTAGGTGGAGATGGGTTTTGGAAACATCCTGTATAAAGTAACAACCTCATCTTGAGTCTCGTGGTCCTCCACAGCTAACCTATGATAATGTATCTGAGTAGGTTTTGCTACCAAATTATTTATCTGTTGTATCACAGAGTTAGTCTGCCTATTTGAGAGCCAGGGACCAGCAGAAAAATGCAAAAAGAACCCAAATAATGGTCCCAAGATGGGAGGAAATAGGGTTGACAACCTTGGAGAGGCTGAAAACCAATTCTTGTACCAGTATTCATCTGTCTCTTTCTCTGATTTTTCTTAGGGCCTTCACTACCTGTTTCATGCTCTCTTTAACCCTCCTTGTCTGTGTACAGCTCTTGACTGTGTACAGCTCTTAAAGAAGAAGGTTGCCTTTACATAGACAAGACCCTCTAACTTCTAACTGGGCTACAGACCTCGTTTATTACCCAGGTAAGTTTAATTCTCATCCAACTAGATGCTGTAGAAAACATGCCTGCCTTAAAAATCCTGCAGGACAGGTGAGAGTCTGACCTTCATTGTAAGGTAGAAACAGATAGGGGAACCAAACAGCTGTCGTCTCTGGGTATCAAACTCAGGTCATCAGCAAGTGCCTTTGCCCACTGTGACATCACCCCAGCCCCCAATACATCCATACACACAAACATATGCATATATATACATATATATATATAATACACACACACCACACACACACACACACACATCCATGCTGTAATCCCAGCACTTGGAAGGTTGAGATAGAAGAATTGTTAAGTTGCATCTCGGTTACACACAAAAGCTGTCTTAAACAGTGATAATGAAAACTAGACAAAATAAGGGGGAAAACCCTCTCTGAAGCCTGGAACATAATAGGAAGCGCTCATGGGAGTTAACTACCATAGAAACTGCTTCTATGGGCTTTAAAAACCAGAGGATAAAATCCCACTTGATCACAGCAGCTTGGAAGTGATGTGAGAATCAGGAAGGACAGTATCTGAGGGGACACTTGAGGGGTCACTGAATGTACATTTACTATAGAGGGCATTTATAAGACTGGCTGACACAACCAGGAGCTCAGTTGTCCCTCTTTGGGACAGGAGAGCTGAAGGAACCAAGAGCTGCTCAGTCCAAGAATGAGGGAGCCTCAGAACAAGAGAGAGCAAAGTCATAGTTGGACCTGAAGCTGAGGACCTGGATGCTCGGCGAGGGGGAGGGGGAAAGGTGTTGGTGAATTGTCTGAGTCTGGTGTTTCTGTTGTGCTGACAGTGAGTCACACCTGCTCCAGGATGGTCATTTGTGTTCTCATGAGCGACCATTCTCTGTCATCTACTTTCTGTCCCATCCAGGGTCCTGGCCTACTGAAGGGTGCCAGTCATGTTCAGAACGAGCCTTCCCCACTCAGCTCACTGGCCCACAAGGCAATCATTTTTGATAATGCCCTTGTAGGCAGACCCAGAAATGAGTTTATCAGTTTACTAGGTATCTCTCAATCCAGTCAAACTGACAAATCAAGATTGACATTACAAGAAGCGCTTTAAATTTTTCACATAAACTCTGCTGGACTCTTCTACAACATACCTGTAAGACAGACTCCAAGCAACCCATTCAAAAGTAAGAATAAGAGAGTCCAGCCACTGCCTGCTGACTGCCTAGTAAAGCCGTTAAGTCTTTACAGAAGAACCTGGAATCTTTTCAAGGTCTTATTCACAAAATTTAGCTATATGAGGCCCATTATCAAGTAAAATGGCAGCCGGTAGGGATCCATTTTGAAATGATCCAGGCAGTAATGGAACTGGAGGAATGGCTCAGCCACTGAGGATGCATACAGCTCTTGCAGAAGACTGCCTGGAAATAAATAGTTAACATGTATTCTCTGGTCAGAAAGGAAATGACATGAGACCTTGGAACGTTAGGAAGGAGCAAGATGTAACAGCAAGAGTAAAGATACAGGATAAAGTTCAACAGATTTTCTTCTAATCTTGTGCTTTCTAAATTTTGTCCAACAGCACCAAGAACTATAAGGGCTCACATCCTCACCCAGATTACCCAAAAGTAATCCACTGGTATTAGGAACCAAACAAAGGCACACACATTATTAAACATAAACATGTTTTTAAAATTACCATTAGAAGTTATTTAACAGACAGTGCTTTGGATAGACTTGTCTGTGACTTCTGTCTGCATGATCTCCAGCATACTTCCACACCACCGTGGGCTCCAACTCAGAGTCTGTGTGGAAGGGGACACAGTGGGGTTTGACAGCCTCAGTACTTCTAGCACCATAGAAAGACTAGCACTTAGAGTACATAGGAAAAGCTCAGTGTTTTCAATAAGAGAAAACAACAACAACAACAACAACAACCAAAAAAAAAACCAATTGAAAAACAACTAAAAAGTAGAATATAGGAAAGAAAATTAGAGAAGAATGATTATACCCACTACTTCAAGACAAACAGAAAACACACACACACACACACAAACACACACATACACACACTCACACGCGGCTTAGAAGTAGCTTTTTATTGCTATATTAAAAAGTCAAGAAAAATAGATGCACATCTTGCCTACAAAACTATAAAACAGACAAGACAATACTTTTCCATAAATGTACTGAGATAAAGAGACAAATTTATAGATAGATTTATTTTCCACTTAACGTGCTCAAGTAGCGCTCGAGTGAAGAACAAGCATCTTCTTTTCTGTATCTCCATTAGACATAGAAGTTACAGCTTCCTGTCGGAGTTATCTAAAAAGTGCACGTTTATAACTAAACATCTTGTCACATCACTGAAGTCCATGTAAGTTGTGGCTTCCTTCTTTCTATTTTCCATGTGCAGTCACGGTCAGTGTGTGTGCCCTGGGTCTTTCAGCTTGGTGGGGAAGAAAGCCCAATTAAAATGAGACATGCAATTTACATCACCATCCTTTAGAAAACAGAAACTATTTGTCATCAGTCCTTAAGAAACTACTTGTCACCAGTCCTTAAAAAGTATGCTTGCAGTAATCTATCATTTCATCGAGAGGTCCCAGTTGCTGTTTCTAAGTGCACAGATTAAACAAAAACCATATTCCTTAAGGGAGGAAAGTACCATGGAGGGTGGGCTTTGTTTGACACAGCACAGGAAAGCTGTACACTTTTGATGGCATTAATTCCATAAAGTATATTCATTTTGATTTCTTGCTAAGACCCGGGAAAGAGAAGGCTTTCATGTTGACGTAGATCATTGTTGAAATAAAGCTTTCTTTCCTGAAATTAGATTATGGGGTAAGCCACGCCAGATAATCTCTGCTAAAGATACAAGCTATAATTATTTTGGGAGGTTTCAATCACTGTTTGGAATTGATACCTAAGCCTTTCTTCTCCCCTATTCTTTGCAGACTTTTTAATGTGATATTTGGGGGGGGGGAGATGCTTTAGGTAGGAAACATCAGCTCTTGAAAGATAAAGGTATAATTATCATTAGAATAAAGAGCCCATTAAAAGAAGAGTCTCAAATAGAAAGATCTTTTCAATATATTGTGCTATGCATCCTTTCATAAAAGCTGGAAAAGAAAGAAAGGGAACGCCTATAATATTACCCTCCCATTAGCCCACTTGGGAGAAAAGGAAGGGCTGAAGTGAGGAGTGCTCAAATACTCTGCAACAGAGCTATTCTAGTGCCACATAATTAGCATCGTACTGATAGCCTCTGTGGGCCTATGTGGAAAGGAAAGGCAGCCATGACTCTTGGGCCTCAGTTGCTAGCCTCCTACTCACCCCTTGCTCCGCCCCCAAGTTCCCCTGCAACCCCCCAAAACCCTGGGATTTGACTGAACTCTTTATAGTCAGTCATCAACTCCTAAGCTGTTTGGTGTAAAACTCTTACTTAGCATACATATGAGTTTTATTGATGTATTGGACTTCTGAGAAAGATAGGGTATCATGTATCCCAGTCTGGTGTTAAACTCTTTAGCTGAAGAATGATCTTGGGTCACTCATTCATAGTGCCTCTGATGCTATTACTGATTTTGGAAATAGAATTAATTAATGGAAAGAAAGCAATGAAGCGTTGAGGTGATTCTGAGCTGTTATGGAGTTTGGGAGATCTGTTAGCTTGAAGGTTGTATTTGGTCTTTGGAAATAGTCATAATATTTAAAAGGAAGGTCACTACACACTAAACATGTTCAGTGTATTTAGCTGTAAACTATAAGTTTTTCTCACTCTTAAAATTCTTGTGTTTAGTTTGGCTTTATTTTTTATTTAAAAGACAGAGCTGCACTAAGACATTGTGGCTGGTGACACATGCCTGTAATCCAGCATTTGGGAAGTGAAGGCAAAGATAACCATATGTTCAAGGTCACCCTTAATTATACAAAGAGTGGGGCCAGTTTGGGTTACTAGAGAAACCAAAATCCCAAGAGAGAGTTTCACTATGTTGCCCAGGCCGGCCTTGAACTGTGTCTCAGATATCAGTCTCTCAAGCAGCTGGAACTATAGGCTCACATATTGTCCAAGTGTCTAAATCAAAAAATGCAGCCGAGAATCTGTGTTCACTGACACTAAAGGTCTTTGACCCTAATTGGCTTTTGATCTATCAATAAAGATGCCAGTGGCTAACGGCTGGGCAGAAAGAAAGAGGCAGGACTTCCAGGTTCCTTGCAGGCTAGGAAAAGGGAGAATCAAGATACTTGGGGGAGAGAGAGAACAGACTCAGAGCTGCAGGGAGAGCTTCCAAAATGTAAGTGGAAAGGGAATGCAGCCCACGGGAGGGCAGCTTCGAAGCATCTTGGGCAGCAAGACCAACGGGCTTCACAAAAGGTAACCAGGCAACTAAGTTGAGGGTAGATTTAGAGACGTTGAGCTAGGAGTAAAGGTAAGGGCACACTACCCGTGGAAGGCTAAGAAGAGCTCAACCACAGAGCCAATAAGGCAATTTAAAAATGAGCTAGTGTGTGTGTGTGTGTGTGTTTCATCTGTGGATCTGAGATAGCTCCTAGGCAGGTATGTGCCTGCGACTTGCTAGGAGCTCAAGGTGGAGTAGCCAAAATTACCCTCTACAGGCATCATTTCAGTGCCGTTACTACCACAAATTCCCATCAGAGCTGAGAGAGAAGTCTGGCCATGTGAAAGATTATCATTTCTAAACCTCAGCTCCCTGCTAAGACCCCCAAATTCCACAGAAGTTAGGAAGGAACCTGCCTATGGTCTCGGGGAAGGGCAGCCCAGGATATATGTGTCTCCAAATAAAAATGTGTACAGCAGCTAAGATCCTGAGGAACCAATACGGTAATGACTTCATCTTGAAGGCTGTTAGTATCCTCATCCAGGTCTCCTTGTCAGCAAGACAGATGCCCTGTTAAGATTAAAAGGGCATCAAGGCAGGCTCTGGCTTGTTGGCAGTGGCTGAGGCCCCAAGATCTCCGTCCAAGTCTTTATGGCGCCTTTCCCATCATCTAAGGGGTCCCCTTGGAAGAGGACCAAAGGTAAGGCAGCATCCTGTAACAATTCCATTAGCCTTCATCTGCAACTTTATTCATAGGTGGGCCATAGTGCTGCCAATTAGAATAAATTGGGAAGGAGTACGGTGAAATATGGGATCTTGGGCAGAGGAGCCAGACTGCCAGGGTTTGAATGTCAGTTCCATCAATTAGAGAGTTGTGTGATGTTGGTCCAAGTTACTAACCTTTCCAAGCTTCAGATCTTTCACCTAAAAATGGGGATAGTAACAATACCTGTCTCACAGAGTCTGTCTGCAGACTGAAGGAGCTAATATTTGTGAAGCCCATGGTAAGAGCCAGGGAAGCACTTTGGAAAATACAAGCAGAGACTTGAGGGCATCCTTCACAGTGTGCAGATGCAAGGCGGGTTTCTGGGGATTGAGCACGGGGCATGTTTGCATTGCAAGAAGTTCAGAAGCTGAACCATGAAGTACACCAGCTCCTGGGAGTCTAGACACTGGACTGAGTATTACAAAATCTTCCAGGTCTAACCAAAGATCTCTTCATCAGTCTGTGACTAAGCAACTGTTCCAAAACACCCTCATATATACTCTATGTCCAGGGCCTATATGAGCCCAAATTAGCTGAAGAGGGAGTGAGATACTTTCCTAAAGCACCCCCACCACCACCACCATGTTTTCCTTACAACATCTATGTGACACAATGGTCCAAATCCTGCTCCAGGTATTTATGATCTTATTTTAAAAGTGAAGAGAGCTTCTACCTAGTTCTGAAATCACTGGGCTCCCAGAATATGCTCCCACTGGGCTTAGCAAGGGGCAAAGGGTGCTACCAGTTCAGCAGATAAACCCACTGGTAGGTATATCCAATGCCTGGGTCCTCAAGAGGAAAGAAGAAACAATCACAATTTATATTGATCATGTCCTTTTTACATTTGGTAAGTTCACAGGCCTCAGTCAACACAATTACTCTCAGGAAATCCTCCTTGGTGACCACAATAATTGGCCTATGAACCCAAGTCACCTATGGCTGGGTAGGAGAAACTAAACTGTAGGGGTGACTTTGGAAGAGAAGTTATGAGGCTGCATCAACACTTCACATGGTGGACCTCTGGCCAGTGTCAGCAAGGCTGAGGGTTCTTTTCCGGGCTGCTCCCTCACTGCTTAACTCTGCGTCTGCTGCGTCCATATTGTGGGCGGAGCTTATTGCTATGGCACCTTCCATTCCGTCTGCGTTGCCTCCATTAAGCTGAAGAGGGATAGAGCCTGGTTCCCTAGGGCGTTTCCACTGTGGCCTGGTGACAATCCAAAAGATGAGTGCTCCAAATACCAGAATCAGAAGGCCCAGGGTATTTGTAAAAACACCTTCTGGTGGGAAGGAATGGTATGAAGGAGTTTTCCTAGGAAGAAAGTGAAAGAGGATCCAGTTACAAGCACACAGCATGTCAGGGTGACCCCTGGTACATCTTCAAGGTAAATGTCCTTAAAGCGAGGCATTAAAGAGACATAGAGGTTATACTATGATTCATACTGTAGAATGTTATAAAATTATTAAAAATGTCAAGTAAGAAAAGAATATAGCACTTGAGATACCTCATATCACTTTTTAAAAAAAGAATACAGAAATGTATACATACTATCATTACAATTATAATTACAATTAGCATAAAATACACACACCCAAAAAATGAACGCACAACTCATAGCCCCAATAGTTTTGCAACACTTTTAGTAATATTATACTACATGTATGGGATGAGAAATTATCTTAAAAATAGTTAAACCTTACGGTTTTTAAAATTATTATTAAAAAGGCTATTTATAGACTTAGTGAGATGGCTCAACTGGTAAGAGCATTGCTGCTCTTCTAGAGGACCTAAGTTTGATTCCCTGGCACCCACTCGGCAGCTCAGAACTGCCTGTAACTCCAGTTCCAGGGGGATCTAACGCCCTCTTCTGGCCTCTAAGGCACAGCATGCATAGGTTACACAGACATGAAAGTAAAACCGCTCATACACACAAAATAAAAGTACGTCTTTTAAAATGGCTATCTATATGATATTTCCCTTGTGAATATATATTTTACATTTTCTAGCTTATGTACTAAGAGAAAGAAGGCTACAAACTTACAGGACAAAGAACAGCTTTTCCGTCACTCCCATGAGGACCGTTGCAATCACTGTTCCAAAGAGGAGGAGTCCGGAATAAACATGTATGGGCATGACGGTTGCTCGGAGAGACGGTGGGGCCCATGGAAGCAGAAAGATGAAAAAGCCTACAACAAGCTGAACACCAGATGAACAACGGTTATCATTTTACTTCAGTTTTAAATGATTATTCTAGCTGGATTTGACGGCACATGCCTTCAGTCCCCCCACCTAAGAGGCAGAGGCAGAGCTAGGGGTTATGAAATGGACAGCACATTTCTTTCTTTCCTTTTAAACTTTTTTATTTAAAAATGTATGTATGTATGTATGTATGTATGTATGTATGTATGTATGTATGTATTTGTATATCTGTGTGTACACCTGCAGGCCAGGAGAGGGCATCAGATCAAATTACAGATGGTTGTGAGCCACCATGTAGTTGCTGGGACTTGAACTCAGGACCTCTCAGAGCAGCTGGTGCCCTTAACTGTTGAGCCATCTCTCCAGCTCCCCCAGCAAATTTCTTTATGCACAGTTCCAACATCCAAAGTTAACATTTATAATAAGCCCTGGCTCCTTCTAGAAAGTTCCTAACCTCCACACAAGTATGTATGTATGTATGTATGTATGTATGTATGTATGTATGTGTATACAACATAAACAAAACTCTCTCTTTCTCTGTATGTATGTGTGTGCATGTGTGTGTGTGTGTGTGTGTGTGTGAGAGAGAGAGAGAGAGAGACAGACAGACAGACAGACAGATAGACAGACAGACAGACAGACACAGAGTCTCTCCAGGCTGGCTGCAAACTTGCGATCCTGCCTTAACCTTAACTTCCCAAGAGGTAGGACAGAATGTGCCCTGTTTGCACAGTTGATATTTTTAAGTGTATACACAGGGCTCCTTGGTTCCCCCGCCCCCAACAGTATATCTTGGAGATGGGCAGATATTTTCATTTCAATACATTCACCTAGTTTAATTTGTTTAATACTTACTACCCTATTTTAAGGATATAGCAATTTGTTTATTAATTATGAAGGGAAATAGTTTTTTTTCCTTCATCCTAAAACCAAACACAGAACATGTAGTTCAGTCTGGTTAGCCTACAAAGCTATGTGAATAGAAACGGATGCCAGGTACGGTGGCCTGACCTTTGATCTCAGCACCCGGAGGCAGAGGCAGTCAAATCTCTATAAGTTCAAGGCCAGCCTGGTTCCAGGACAATCAGGGATACACAGAGAGACCTTGTCTCAAAAACCAAAGACAGAAAGAAAGAAACTGACATTGGGCTTCACAAGGAAGAAACAGATGATGTCTGAGTCAATGTCTTCAGTGACTAAGTCTGTGGTGGGATACTTCCTTACCATAGGATTTCTAAATAAGCTGAAGTCTGTTCCACCCTACAATTCTATTTTGGCCTCTGGCTTCTCTCCAGTATTCTCTCTTCGAGAAAATGCAGCTGCTATCAGATTATTGAATTTACTGAAACTTTTTTCTTCAAGTACTGATTTAAGATTTATATATTTAGTCAAATTTAAAAAAATAAAATTAGAGAAGATGGAGAAATAACTATTGTACCTGTTCCTTCTTCCTCCTGCACCACATGGAAGGAGTGAGGAGCAGGGAGCCAGAACAGAGGCCCGAGGGGTCCAGAGCCCTGAGACCTTAGAATCTGTGCAGCTTGCCTTGGTAACCAACAGAAAGCTTTTGATGGGCTGTGGACATATCTCACTGTTCACCTAATATTCCGATAACTGAATATGTTGGAAACAGCCCAGGGATTCACTCTTGGTCTTTGAAAATATTCCCACAGTTCCATCCCATGACTCCTTGAGTGATTCCATCAGTATCAAAAGGTGGATTTCCCGTTGCCTATGGTGTGCTTTCTGTGTGGAAATATAGCTCAGCTCAATGAAAGCCAGAGATTTTGTATAGATGGTTTCCTGAAATGCACCATTGTGTCTTCTATTGAGGCCTCCCAGTGGAATACATAGTTCTTATATTCTTTTTGACCATTTTCACTTCAAGATCCTTATTCATATCTAATTTTTTTGTGGCTTATCATTTGTGTCTGCTTTTTGATTTTTTGTTAGTTTTTATTTGTTTTTGTTTTTTTTTCCCCCACTGAGTCAGGGTATCATTATATAGCCCTGAATATCCTGGAATTCGCTATGTAGACCAGGCTGGCCTCGAACTCACAAGGATCTGCCTGCCTCTGCCTCCCAGGTGCTGAGATTAAAGGTGTGCACCACAACACTGATCAGTAATGTATCTTGTAATCCTGAGGACTGCAGTGAGTTCAGCAGACATTTCAGTCAGACATTTGCTTACAGAATCTTTCAGCAATTTAAATCTTATTTTTGCTTTTAAAGAAGTTAATCAACAAAAGAAAATTAGTCTTCAAAGAAAAGGGGATGCATTAGAGAATGTTTGACTTTGTTGAAAGTGTTTCTGAATGTAATGATGCAGACATAATTTGTGATAATTATTGTAGTCTTTATTTCCTGTGAACTGTCTCAGTCTCACCACCTTACAAATGAAGAGAGCAGCGTATAACCTAGTGGACTCAGAAGCCCAAGACATTCTTTCATTGTGCCTATGTGTATAAGGAAATAGATGTTAATTTTTAAAGCAAGATTTATTTATTTTATGCGTATGTGTAATGTTTTGCCTGCATTTATGGAACTATTTGGGAAGGATTAGGAGGTGTGGCCTTATTGGAGGAGGTATGTAACTGGGTCAGGCTTTGAGGTTTCAAAAGGTTATTACCATTCACAGTGCCTTGTTCCCTCCCTCCCTCCCTCCCTCCCTCCCTCCCTCCCTCCCTCCCTTCCTCCCACTTTCAGAACAAGATATGAGTTCTCCGTGTTCCTGCCATCATGTCTTGTTCTGCCAGTATGGACTCTAACTCTCTGAAACTATAGCCCAAACTAAACACTTTCTTTTGTAAGTTGTCTTGATAATGGTGTCTTTCTTCTCGAAATAGAAAACTAGGGCTCTGCTGTAATTAGATAATAAAAATTTATTCTTGTAGAGTCTGCTCTAAACAGTTAAGCTTTTCTTAGTTATTATTGTCTTTAAATACATGGGTATCTTCTACTGTGCTAGTTTTTCTCACTTTAAGAAATACCTATGTTAGCCCAGGCTGACCTGGAAACTCACTAAGTAGCTGAGAATGACCTTGAATTTCTGATCTTCCTGGTTTCACCTATCAAATGCTGGTACTAAAGGTTCATGCCACTGTGCCCTGCTGTCTTTTTTTTTTTTTTAAAGCTTTTATTGTAAAAATCATGAGAGCAGGGCTCATCTGTATGGCTAGCTTTCATACCAGACATTGTTTGGGGTTGGGAGGTAGATGTGATGGCTCAGTTTAATTACAGAATTACATGGAAGTGTTCCCACCTCCCCTTCATTTTTCTGTGCATCTACATATGCACTCATTTCTTCATTTTTCCATATGTTTTGAAATCTTAGTTATAAACCGGACATTGTCTCGATTGTTTGGTCTGCTACACAAGGTGAATCAGCATCCTGTGGTCCTGGTACTCCTTCATTTGCATAAAGCTCATTATACCATACCCAGGCGTGGGTGGTGGCACATGCCTGGAAGCCCAGCACTTGGAAAGCTGGGACAGGAGAATTGCAGCAAGTTCATGGCCAGGCTGGACTCCATAATAAGACTTTATCTATCAAACAGCAAAGAGTGGGCTGTGTGTGCGCGCGCGCGCGTGTGTGTGTGTGTGTGCGTGCGCGTGTGAGTGTGCGTGTGCTCACTTCACGCGTGCGCTGAAGAGATGGCTCAGTGGTTGAGAGCATTTGGTGCTTTTGTAAAGGATCTAGGTTAGGTTCTTAGCACTTACATGGCAGCTCATAAATTCCTGTAATTCCAGTTATAAGGAATCTGAATACCTCTTCTGGCTCCAAGAACAACAGGCATGCATGTGGTACACAAACATACATTCAGGCAAACACTCATATACATAAACTAAAAATAAATTGTTTTTTAAAAATCTTATGGTAGTAGCCAACCTTTTGTTAGAGCTTTTCCTTTGCATCAGTTGTTTGCAAGCATGAGCTTACACTCAGTGGCCTGGTAGAGTTGTTAGAACAGCAGATTTTGGTCCCCAATCCCACGGTTTCTGGTTGAGTTGATCTCGGTGGAAGCTGAGACCTTGTGTTCCTCATTTCCCTTGGGAGGCTTATACTGCTGCCCTGGCTTTGAGGAAATCGACCTACTTCATTTCCTGGTTATGTTGTTCACACACAAGAGCCAAATGACACTTGGCTTTAGAGATTAAAAAATTCTAACCAGCGTCAGAAGAACATGTCCATAGATGTGGATAAACAGACTGTGGTCACCACAATGGCGGCTCAGCCTCTGGCTGACATCTGACCACTCCCTGCTATGTCCCCCTGTCACCACTTGTACCTGGCAACATCCCAGCCTGGCTCTGCTCAGGTCATGAGTGACCCTGGCTCTTAGGCCCAATGGAGCAGTGACATCCAGGGAGGCTGCACCGATGGAAACTCCTGGTTGAGAGACGCTCAGCCCTGCGGTCAGCATCACCATTAGCCCTCCATTCATGCCCTTCTCCTCAGGGACCACTGAAGAGATCCTGCCAGCACATCAAGCTAACTTCAAAGCTTCCCCTCCCTCTCTTTAGTGACAGTGGGGTTGGTGTTGCACCTCTGCTTGTCTAGCTGTCTTCACAACCAGCTTCCTGCAGACCTGCTTTTAGATGACTTTTGTCTTCCAGTCCCCACGTACCCTCCTTTTCTGATGCCATCTCATTGATGTTTTTACATGCCCAAGCTTCTCTGATATAAAGCAGAAGCAAGAAAACAAACAAAACCTCACTAAATGTTCCCCCAAGTCTCCAAACACCAACCTCGGCTTGCAGCAGTGCTCAGCAGCTGCCCACACTGCCCACGGGCTCCCACTCCGTTCACCCAAAGGCCCTGGAGGAGCCTTTTTGCTTCCTCTTCAATCCACTGCAACCTTGTTTCTACCCACCAAGGTAGTCACTAACTTCCCATCACCGATACTGATGGACAATGTCCAAATCGTGTCTGCAGATCTTCTCAGGAGCATGAGACATTCCTCATATCCTCCAGGGTTCCCCTTCTTATCTGCCCA